AAATGATATTAATTTGAGGAACAGTCCGCTAATGCAAATTGATACCGAGAATGAAATCGGTCGCTCGCTTTTTCCATTCGATCACGGCTTACGAATTGTAATAAAGCTTATTGATTTGAAAAAGCGAGCGACCGATTTCATTCTCGGTATCAATTTGCATTAGCGGACTGTTCCTCAAATTAATATCATTTCCTTTTGTTTGGAAAAGAGAGACACTGGCAGCGGTACACTCTACCCATGATTATGGGTTTTGGTCAAATTAATATATCAAATAATAGGTTAGGGTTTCGAATAGTCGTTCAGGGCCAGCTAGAGAACGAGTTGAAAAAGTTACGTGACAGTCGAGTGCAGAGTAATTAATTATCATGATCATTCATCATCCTTTGTTGAACAAATTATGATGCTGATATCATGTCGAACATTATTGTCGAGCGATTAATTTGTTATACTTATACGAAATGGACCGTAAATATTATTATGAGTTACATTATGATTACCTAATACGGATTTCAACCATTCCTTCACATGGCTTTTGTAAATTGTAATTTTAAATTTTAAAAGGTAATGCCTACGAGTACGGTCGATGGAAATCTAGCGTCCGCTAACCGGCGCAATTCTTGTTGACCGTAGAATCGATTAAAAGTGCAGTTTCAAAATGATTGGACTGAGTTAGCGCGGTTAAAATCGCAAAAAACCGATTTTGGGGCCAAAAATAGGCCAAAAAACCATGTTTTTTGATAATTTGGGCAAGTTAATTTTGTTGGCATGTCGACAAAAATTGCACGAATTAAGATAGCTTAAAGACAGCCGCACAAGATGGTAAAAAATAAAACAAATCCCTCTATTTTAGCGCAGGTAAAAATCCAAAAAGTAAAAATTTTGACTTTTTGCTTGAAGTTTGAATAAGTTTTTGCAGTTGTATTAAATCAACTCAAAAATAGTCACATCGTGTTTGTCTAAATTTTTCCTTTCCGAGAAGTACCCACTTCATATAATTTATCGAAGTTTGAATATTGTCACTCTGCAAGCGTTTTTGCCAAATTTTCGACGCGCACTACGCGCAAAAGCATTTAGTTGTTATCAATTGGCACCCGCGCGTTCATCATAAATTTCAAACAGCTATAACTCAGCGAAATTATGTCCGTTCTAGCTCATATTTTCACACCAAATAGAAAATAATGTGATCTTATTGCTGACAAAATATGAATATAATTACTTTATTTGCCTTAGAGTAATAGACCGTCAAAGTTTAAAACGTGCATTGGTATAGCACGTGACTAATAAGGCCAAATTTATACTTCTTAACATATTATCGATCCTTAGACATCATACTATTATGTTTAATTAGCGGTTAGGTCTCTAAACTCGTAGCAGAAAACACGTCTTTTTGCCCGTAAGAGCTTCTACTAATAAGCTCTGTTACAAAGGCTCATGCACGCAATCAATCACAAATAACGAGCGCGCGGTTTTTTAAAAAAATCTCTCCGTTATTTAATCGGATCGCAGTGTTCACGGCCTGTACTGCGCCAAAGACAGAAATAACCTTTAAATTATCTAAATTTAGGCTCTAGTAATTAAGAAATGTGACATGTAATTGTAAGATAACAATTATAGTAATACGCAATGCAAATAATTCCACCCTGCTGCGCTGCAGCAGGGCCATCAAGTGAAATGACCACCCTTACGACTTACTTTGGACAACTATGGCTATATACTATATTATATTTGACCAAAACCCATAATCATGGGTAGAGTGGACCGCTGCCAGTATCTCTCTTTCCCAAACAAAAGGAAATGATATTAATTTGATTGACCGTTTTCAAATGCAAAATGATACCGAGAATGAAATCGGTCGCTCGCTTTTCTCATTCATTCACGGCTTATAGTTATACGAATTGTAATAGGTTTCGATAAATTACATCGATCACTGTATGCTGTAATAATTTATTTGGGTTGCGTTCGGGTCGTTACCTAGTATTTCGGGATAAGGGTGGTAGTTAGTGAATTAGCTGAAGTTAATTGAATCTTTATTGCCGAGTACAACTATCTTCGGGTATGGTAGTTCTTCTTAATTTATTACATTTGTAATTGTAAATGAATGGGAAAAGCGAGCGACCGATTTCATTCTCGGTATCATTTTGCATTTGAAAACGGTCAATCAAATTAATATCATTTCCTTTTGTTTGGGAAAGAGAGATACTGGCAGCGGTCCACTCTACCCATGATTATGGGTTTTGGTCAAATATCATCTCTTTTTGATTAATGTCAGGGTACTTTATAAAGTCGAAATATAAGGTATAAACTGATATCTTCATTAATAAGGAGGAAGTTTCAACGATTTCGAAATTTTTCCTTTGAAAACATTTCCTTGTGTTTGGGTAAGCATATCGGTCGATCACTGACTGAATTTGCCACTTTATACTCATTCAAGTTGGCATTAAATTTATATATAATGACATTGAACTGTCGTGGTAAAGCAGAATTTGTTCGAAATCACGAATGAGCAAAATTATCACCTTTCGCACGTGCAAACTATGAGCGGACGTTGCGTGCGCATCCAATATTGAATCGCCGTTAATTTTTGCGTGTTGGTGTTTTATATATAGTTTGATAAGCATGCAAAGTTTCAAAGTATTTCAAGTAGAACTGTAATCACAACGGCACTCTAAAGTTGACAGAAAATGACGAAAACAGCAATTTTCAGTGATTTTAGCGATTTTCTATCAATTTGGGCGTGTCCCCACGTGTGCATCTTTTCGATTTTTAACTTTAAAACTAGCCTAATGCACAATTTATACCTATAAGAAGCAGAACTGAGCTCCACAACCCAAAGGATAGCCCAACACCAGAGAATACTAAATCGCAAAATTGAAGTTTTTATAAAATAATTCTTCAAAAAAGCACTAACTTCAATGGCAAATATCTTTATGAAGGAGCAAGGTAGGGAAACTTTCCGGTAGATTTTCAGAATGCTTAAACAATTATCTAACTTCAATATGCCCTCAAATTTTGAATAAAATTACTCTTTAATGGCGTAAAATCGATTTTAAAAGTGATTACTTTGTAAAAAAAACAGGTTTTTTAAATGGTTAACTTGATGACGTCATCAAGTGGTAATGATGACGTTAAATTACTTTTTAATATAATGTAAACTAAAGTCTAAACAATTATCTTCAAGACCTGTGGTCCGAGATGGCTGTATCTTTAAAGCTTCTGAATATACGGACACCTGAATATAGCCTATAATTGACTGGCAAAGCGTCTATCCCTGAATATATATGTATATCTGTATGTATATATCTGTATATGTCCCGACAATCTGTCGTAAAACAGGGGTTCTAGAAAACACATTTCCCGATGCTCCTGAAACTTGAAACTTTTTTTGCAGTCGATTTGGTCAACGTCTAGACGCCCTGCAAATTTTCAGATCTTTAACACAATTTTAACATGGTTTTTAAGGCACCTGAATATGGCGATTTTGGGTTTTTTACCGAATTTCGTATAACAGTGCTGGCGAGTATTTTATGCAAATTTCTTAAAAATCTCAACATAACTATTTTTTATTCCTGTCATCTTTGACATCAAATTAGAATGTTTTGAACTAAAAATAAATCTGCTGAACGACTTCCGATGAGTCTATTAATGCCTGAAAAACTCCTGCCGGAGGCGGCAGCCTTCGGCCGCCGCCTACGGCCGGAGTGCACGCTTCGCGTGCACGAAAGAGGCTTGTAACGTGTACCAAAGGGGGTATAATAGTAAAGGGGGTATAATAGTAAAGGGGGTACATAGTATACCCACAATAAATGCACCGGTCGTGCTTGCCAGCACTGTGATAGTTACGGCATGTAACCAGCACTTACAGGAAACCAAATGATCAAATCTAACGCCGGCGACGGTTGAGGTGTTATACCACATTTTCTTCGTCCGAAGCTTTGCTGTATTGATCATGTACAGCTCCTCATTTAACCTTCACACACGATTTCTCGAGTATTCGGCTGAGGAGACCGTGGGCTGCATAGTGCATAGGTCCAACGGAATCCTTAGCAGAGCGTAAACTCGAACGACGCGTCGACGCGACGCTCACCCCATGGCTAGCGACACAGACGGCCATTTCTGTCATATTGTTTTGGCCCTGCTCGGCCATGGCCGAGGAGGGCTATTTTTGCGTCATATTGTTTGGCCCTGCTCGGCCATGGCCGAGGAGGGCCATTTCTGTCATATTGTTTTTTATTATCTAAAAATGGCCCTCCTCGGCCATCATACACAAACAACCAGACTTGAAAGCTACTTGCCTACTTTGTGAGTGACTTGACTGCCAGCTATTGTTCTTAAGAACATAGGACGAGTTACCGGCAGGCCTAACGTCAAGATAGCAACAACTGGGGAGAAATTGCGATTTTCACATGTGAACGCTCCCTTACCACTTACAGCTACGCTACGTGTTATCATGACGCAATTCAAACGATAAAAGTTATGGAATGTAATAAGATAAGTTCGATCTTGATTCACGATGTCAATCCTTCACATCTCGCCGATCTGCATACGTGTAGTTGCGAGAAGAATTATTTGATGCGCGGCGCGACCCAGTAGTGCATCGCGCTACAAGTTCGATCCAGTTGGCCACTATTTCTTTTGCTGCCTCATCAAATATTCCTCCAAAATCTAAATTTCAAAGTGAACATGGTCATGGCTTTTATGGTTCTAATTTCCCAAAGGCCTTTTCCGACAGTTTTGAATTCGTATAATTCTTGATCATAGACAATAGAAATGTTAGTAATGCTTATGAGTTTCGATCGATGGTTGACAATGTGGTTAGAAATTGAATCTATTTGGTTTCAATTCTCTATCTCATCGGCCGCAGTTTCTCCTCATTATAAATAAAAATAATAGTCCATATCTTTCATCTTGTGAGTTGGGGACTGAGATAACATAAATAGAATATGCGTTTATCGTAGTGAAATCATGCCGTGACTATTAGTATTAATTCCGTTTTGAATCTAACAAAAATTAACCACAACTTTCTGATGCTTCAGCAGAACTATGGCCTTCCTGAAATTGATGGTGTTCTCTGCAGTAGCGATCATTCTCGCTTCAAGCAAGAAGGGTGGTAAGAAGGGGGGGGGGTTACGCAGTTTAACAGCTCTAGTCGAACAGCAGACAAAGAAGATCAGTGAAATCACAAGCTTGGTGGACGAAGCAAAAAAAGAGATCAACGAATTGAAGTAAGTAAACAGTTTATAGCAGTAGTTATATTAATATATGATTCCTTGAATTCGCGAGGAAAATTCTCCGAGAGTTTAACTATTGCAATGATTAATGAAGTTGATTTGTAAATTTAAACCTTCCTCGTCGCAGAGCCAGTGTGGAAGAAGGAAAAGAAGAGATCAACGACTTGAAAAGTAAAATCGAAAGTCTGAAAGAAACATGTGCCGAGGAATTAAAGTAAGTAAACAGTTTATAGCAGTAGCTATATTAATATATGATTCCTTGAATTCGCGAGGAAAATTCTCCGAGAGTTTAACTATTGCAATAATTAATGAAGTTGATTTGTAAATTTAAACCTTCCTCGTCGCAGAGCCAGTGTGGACGAAGGAAAAGAAGAGATCAACGACTTGAAAAGTAAAATCGAAAGTCTGAAAGAAACATGTGCCGAGGAATTGAAGTAAGTAAACAGTTTATAGCAGTAGTTATATTAATATATTGAATTCACGAGGAAAATTCTCTGAGAGTTTAACTAATGTAATAATTAATAAAGTTGATCTATAAGTAAATAAATTGTAAATTTAAACCTTCCTCGTCGCAGAGCCAGAAAGAATGACGTGATGGTGGTAAGCGGAGAGGAGGATCTGAGGGAGGAGCGCTGTGCGAAAGTGTGTGCTGGAAGCTCAGTCAGTAAAGCAACCAACTGGGAGGATTTCAGCTATACCAAAATCTACACACGCGTTGACATCAGCAAGTGTGGGTTCGTGACAATTCCAACTGTGACTTCCTCTCTTGAGGGCAGCATGTCTTTTACAACAAGGACAGGGAGCTCGTACATTTACAGGGTGACTTCCAGCTATTTTAGGATCTACCTGGTGTCTCCATATGGCAGAGGCGGTGTTGCGAATAAAATGGGTTGGAATGTGGAGTGGATCGCGGTGGGTTATACCTGCTGAAGTTTCTACTGGATCCAAATGCATGAGACTTTATTAGATTGTTAAACTTAAAGTTATTACATCAAAGAAAAAAAAATGATAAATTTAAAGATAAAAACTTTTAATCGGCTGATAAATATTAAACCAAGAAAAAAATTAATTTTTTAATAAGATGAGTATCTATATTATTGATTTTAATGCCTATGTTAAATATTAATATTTAATAAAGGATGTTCATAGTTTTTAATTTTATTGCACGAACAGTAGTTTTATTGAAAAATACCATCACCGACAAAAATTGAAATAAAAGTGAAATTACTAATTAGAGGTCACATTAACATTGAAAATGACAATGGCGATTGATATGATGTTGAATTGGTTTCTTTTTTGTTTAAAGTCGAAACTTTCTGGGCGCCGCACAGCCTGTCATTCCGGAAAATCAGCCTATTAATACCAAATACAGAAAATCGCTTATTGTAACAGTGAACAGTAGCAAATTACAGTAGCACACAACATTAAACACGATATTAACAGGTTTCTTGGGCTCTAGCTGTCAGTCCAAATTTTCTGCAAATTTCCTTTTGTCTCTCTTAGCTGAGCTCGAATGAATATCTTTAAGAGTTTAAGGATTATAGTACGAGTCCAATAGTTTAAGACACCGGAACCAAGCTTTCCTCGTTGACTCCATGCCCGGTAGATTGATGGGTCTGCCAATCTCCAGCCGCCTCAGGATCCAACCCTCCTTCCCCTCTCACCTTCACGGTGAAACTCTCAGCCGCCTTGTTAGCATCATAATCCTTCACTGTGAAACTAGTGCTAGTAAGGGAGGTGAACTCCTCTGAAATATTGTTCCCTTCCTCCCTTTCTTCGCCCTCTTCACTGTCTTCCCTTCTTCCCCTTCCTCCTCCTCTTCAACCACATGTTCGTCCGGTGCCGCCTCTTCCGACTCCACTTCCTCTGTTTTAGTGGTCGCGATGGGTATCAGCTCCACCTTGAAGGCAACCTTGCTCGGGACAGCACTAGCGGAGTCATAAGGTCGTCTCCAGGGCTGCACCTCCATCTCCCGCTGCTTCATCCGATGCTGCAGGACTCCGTCTCTCTTTTTGGGTTTGTTGTCGCTGAAGATGTCGAGTCTGCTGTCGAGGAGAGAGGACCTGACCAGCCAATATGTGTCGATTATTGTGTCCTCCTGAGGTAAAAGATAGTCGGTTAAAGAATTCCAAACATTTAAAGTCTAACTCCGAAACTTGTTCAAAAACATGATAGTGTAACAGAAAGGTTCGAGTGATTCTTAGACCGAATTTAAAATCTACAAACTAGATAATTTTGATCTGGTATGGAGATTTCATTAATGTTATCCGAGATTAGATTAACATAACCATAATAAACTGCAGTTTCGGCTTTACATTTCCACTCTCATATTATAGGCGATAGCTAGCTGATTGGCACTTGAAGATGTTTATTTTGTACTGAGATGACCGACTTACTATCGTAAACTGCCCCCTGAAGAGTGTCTCGAAGATTCCCGTGTCCGCCAGAAAAGTCCTCGTGTAGTTCGTTATCAATATCCTCATAGCTGAAATCTTACTATATATAAAGCGAGATGTATACATTCCTCAGCAAAAATCAAACTGTTGAACAGATTATCAGAGACAATCGACATTCACTGTGGGACTGAGCAAGGTCACCCGATGTCTCCTGAGCTGTTCAAGTGTTTCATCCACCAACTCTCCCTAGATCTGGATAACGCTGAGGAAGTCAACGTCCCTGAACTGAATAACGTTAATATCACTCATCTCCTCTGGGCAGATGATCTTATACTTCTTGCCCTCGATCATATTGGACTACAGAAACGTTTAAACGTTTTACACAGATACTGTATCGAATGGGGACTAACCGTTAACATCGGAAAAACGGCGGTGATGGTGTTCAACCGTTCCGGGAGGCTCCTTAAAGAGAGTCTGACATTCCAACTCGGCGAAACCAACATCACATCAGTTCGAGAATATTGCTACCTCGGGATAACCTTTACCCTCAACGGTTCTTCAGCAGTAGCACAGAACAAACTGAAGCAAAAAGGTCTCAGGAGCTACTTCGCGCTAAAAAGCAGTATTGACCTAAGACACTTCAGGAGAACAATCGTATTCAAGCTATTCGACGCGCTTGTTGTACCGATTGTGACATACGGATGTCAGGTGTGGCTACCAGAGACTCTCTTTGTCAGAAACTATCAAGATAATATCAACACCAAATCTCTCCTGAAGGAGACTGCAAGAGATCCTCTCAAAAAGCTTAATCTCTCATTCCTCAAGTGGACCTTAGGAGTGGGCAGAAAAACCTCAAATGCTAGTGTATGGGGTGATACAGGCCGCTGCCCCTAGTGATAAAGGCATCAAAGCAAGTTTTTGGGTATTTCAACCGACTTGAGCAAATGGACAGAGCTGGCTGCACAAGTCTAGCCAGACAGGCGTACATAGAACAACGCACACTCAATCTGCCATGGTACAAAGGTTTAGAAGATCTCCGACAAAGCCTTCAGTCAGTATCATCACGCAGGTTGACCTACCCCAACCAATTCAAAACAGCACTACGTAGTACTTTCATTAACTGTTGGAACGAGGAGCGGCAAAACAACCGGAAGCTCAGTTTCTACAACATTATCAAAAGTGAATTTACAGCTGAAACGTACCTGAACCTGCAGCTCAGTGGAGAAGAGGTGAAGCGGCTGGCGCAGTTCAGAATGAGTGCTCATAAGTTCAACATCGAGACCGGTAGATACGCCATCAACCGTGAAAATCCGCTCAGTCGCATTTGTAAGCACTGTTCTTCATCAGACCTTGAAGCTGTCGGTATACTGGCTGAGCTACCAATGTTTGAGCCGATCATTGAAGATGAGAAACACGTTCTCACGGATTGTTCGCTTTACGACGACCTGAGGCGAAACATAGGTCAGCAGGCGAGAACCATGATCACCTCGGGAGCGGAGACCTTTGCCGACCTATTCAAGGATATCCTAATGATCAGAGAAACTGCCAGATTCTTGAGTAAAGTGAACAAGCGGAGGTTCCCCCCGAGTGACAGAAAAGAAAAGGAAGGACTAACACCATGACTCATGGACTCAACATGCGAAACGTGGATTCGACAGTGTGTTATTTTCGTGTGCGATTCACACTTTTGATTTTGTGTGGAATTTATGTGTGAATCTTAAACATGGACCCAAAGGACTGGTTGTTCACGTCATGAACATTCCATTTTAGAAGGGCTCGGTTTTTAAACTCTTTAGACTATAACCGTCAACCGTGCATTTTTCAGGACAGGTTTCGGGTTTTTCGTTCTTGACTTTCATTTTATCTTTATTGGTTTAAATTTAGATCCGACACAATGTTTATTGTAATGATCATTTTATTTTGAAATCCTTGAAATCCTTTGAAATCCTTGAAATCTGTCCATATATGTATATATCCGTGCCATTTTACTGACACCACGGCATAAACTTTAACACGACCTTCCGCAAAAACCGTAAAAGATATACAACTGAAACTTTTTTACTGGGTCAAATGCTTTTATGCTTTTCAAATCAGTATGAAAAAATAAAAAATTGGCCAAGGAATAGGAGTTTTAGAGCCCAAAATTTGGACCCCCAAGTGGTGTCAAAAACGCGAATTAAATAGGAAATAATTATTTTAGTCTCTTGAGGTTTACAAGGTTTACAAGGTTTACAAGGTTTACAAGGTTTACAAGGTTTACAAGGTTTACAAAAAATAGGTCTATATTACAGTGAGATAATGTCAGATCTATCAGCATAGCTAAAGGTCAAAGTCCGAAATCCAAATAGAAAATCCGTTAACATTAAGGTGTTTGATGAGTGTAAAGAAAAAGTGAAAATGAAGGGGCTGTGGAGGAAATGTGATATCCCGTACTGAGACACTAATGTTCGTGTTTCTTCTTTATAGGGAATCGTGTTCTGCATAGCTGAGCGACGAACTTGGTGAATTCCACTATGTGCTCCGGTAGAAAGAGGCTCTTCATGTCATGAAATAGTAATGACTTTGTGGGCTCCTTCATGTTAGTCCAACTGGAATGGTACCTGGGACATGTTCTAAGGAAGTGTTCTTCATCTTCTATTATCGGATCAACACAAGGAAGATTAACAAAGAGCTCCATCATGAACTTTTCGCTGCAGAATTTACAAATTCTGTGATGTTGACTTCCAGTTCTGCTCCCATATCTTCCAGTTTCTACGTTTAGCTTATGTCCGCTCATTCGGATCCTAGCCACTAAGTTGCTTCCAGTTCTCGACGGTAGCGTGAGGTACGGCTCCTGCTCGAAAGCACCTTTAACTTTATCATAGAACGTAAGCTTCTTATTGCTTTGTCTTTCTGTTTCCCATAGATTGATAAATCGGTTATGTGCCCTTTCCTGACATAACAATGGGTTGTAAAGTTGATGTTCAAATTTGTTCTCGTCGAGTATCATTAGCATTGATTCCAGTGCTCTGAACCAACCTAAATCAAGTTTCTTCTGCTCAGCAAAAGCGTGCCTGGCTAGGGCTGGTGAGTCTTCTAGTTCAAGTCTTGCAAGGCGATTATGGAAATCGGTGACTTGTTTAACATATCGAACTACAATAGGGGTTCTTCCGCAGTCTCCCCAAACAGCTGCGTTAGATGTAGATTTGCCAACTCCAAGGGTCCATTTAAGGATGGCGAGGTGCATTCTTTCGAATGGGTCAGCTGCAATGCCTGCCAGTGGGGATTGCTTCGTATTGTCAGTTGTGCTGGCAAAAGCCTTAATTCCTGAGCTACTGCTGATCCAGACTTCCACTCCGTACGATACAACTGGCAGTATGAGGGAGTCGAGCAGTTTAAGAACTGCGACCTTGGATATATTGTTAAGGTCTACTTCACTTTTCAGTCCAAAGTATGCCCGGAGAGCTTTTTGTCGCAGAAGGTTTAGTGCTGTCTTAAAGCTGCCCGACAGTGAGAAGGTGATCCCTAAATAGCAATATGTTTTCGCTGATGGGATTGTTGATCCCATGTACTGAAAACCGTAACTCTCTTTGAGTTGCCTTCCACTTTTATTAAAAATCATGATGGCGGTTTTCTTGGTGTTCACCGTGAGCCCCCATTCTTTGCAGAATGACTCAAGTTCAGAGATCATGACCTGAAGACTTTCTTTCGAAAGTGCGGGGAGGACAAGATCATCTGCCCACAGGAGGTGGGTCAGAATAGTTTCATTCAGCAATGGACTTGAGATGTCTTGAA